TATGTATGTATGTATGTATGATTGCATGGTAAAAAACCTACCTGCAGAGTCCAGCCTTATTTGAGGTTTGCATGACATCACTGTTGTAGATTGTTTTGTTCCTCCCCTTAAATAAGGCCCATTAAGTTTTGTTGCAGTGAAAGTGCTGAGGGCAATGTTGTAGTGCCCTTTTAAAGCCATGCACACCATTGTTTGTGCCCCTCTCACCAAGTGATTAAGCAGTGCCGAGGGAGGCATTAGGAAATGTGCTCTTCTCATGCAACCTAGTACCACCTTATGCTGTGATCCGTCACAGGGGCTTTTGGCGTGGCATAGGTTGGCCTGAAATGAGGATAGGGCAAGTGTCAGTGACGTCAAGCTGGCTGGAAAAAGGCATTTCAATTTCTCTTCTGCACGCATGCAGTCAATATGCTCCCAAGCAGGAGGGAGTAAAAAAAAAAAACCTCTGGCAAAAAGTGTTGCTTCTTGAGCAAAGGGAATATATTCTAAGAAAATCCTGTTTAAGATGGCAAGCTCCAATGAGTGACAGTTAATGGTTTGGGCAAGTAGAAATAGCCACTGCTGTGTGGGAACGAGTTTGATTGTGTGTATACATGCATGTGGGCGTGTATGGACTTGTGTACTTTGGCTGGTTGAAGTAATACATCTTTGTTTCAAAAATATGTTACCATATTTATATTTCATGAAACAGAGGCCTTTGGAGAGTCTCCTTTGTCACTGTTGGCTTGCTTCAGAGTGTCCTTAGTAAGCATTAGCATTCTTGGAGTTTCCCGTTCCCAGAAAGCTACATTTTTTCAGAATGAGATTCTTAAAGGCCTCTTTCCTTGTACTCTCTGTTCCCAAGCCCCACTTTAGTTAGGAAGAAGTAAATGGCATTGAGTTTTTTTTACTTGATCCACCTGAGCTAACCACGAGGAATTTAAAAAGCCCTTTGTGCTCCTCCATTGTGTTTATAGTCTCCCCCTTCTTTTCTCACCGTGTCTTTCTTAAAGAGGTTAGTCTTTGCTTTGCTGCACTTTTAGGCCAACTTTTCCACTCGTTTGGGATCAAATGAGCTCAACAACAGTTGGATATGAAACACATCTCCTGTCAGCTTTAAAGCTGACAGGAGATGTAGATGTTGTTACTGTTCAAAGAATAACTGGCTCAGGCTCAAACATACGAACAATATCACGAGGTCTAATAACAAACACATATTGAACGCTAACTTCTCAGGAAGTCTTTTATATTCACCAGTGTTTTGAAGTTTTGTGCCTGTGTGTGGTTTTTTTATGGTTATGGATTGTGCTGTGAAAAGGAATATTAATTTGAATGTTCACAATCATTCCTCTACCTCAATATGACCTTGTCCCCCCCCCACTTTTTTTTTTTTTACTTCTAGTATGGCGATGTTTTGAATGTGATCATGTCGAGTAAGAAGAAAGGAAGTGCTGTTGCAGAATTTGCAACTGTGAGAGCTGCTGTAAGTACCTTAACTCCTGAATAAGAACCTCAGAAACCGTTTTCTTCAACATTCATTTGCCTCAAAATTCCAGGTCACCCGATGAGTTTGATTATTACTCAGAGTGATAGCTGTCATAGACTTCCGTGCCTGGGGACGGTCTGTGTGAGTGAAACTGATATTTTAGTCATTCTGTACCGCAGAAGTCCCGATGCTGATGGAAACCATTGGACGGACGGAACTGAGCCGTGTTATTGTTCCCCACTGTCTGGTTCCTCAGGCTCTTTGTCATCATGATGTACTTTTTTTGTTGTTGTGGTTTCCTTACCGCAACATGTGTTTCGCCTGCAGAAAATATGCCTGCCAGTCTACTGGGATCTAGGTACAGGTTCTGTTGTCTCACCCTGCCCATCTTCATGCCCCAGCTCCGGTGTTGGCCCACCTTTATTTAGGTGTTATGTGAACTGAACAAATACCCAGGTCCCACTCTGTACAAGGAGAAAGTTTTTTCGCCTTAATAATACTGGTCGATGACTCATTTGAATACCCACTCTCACATTTAGTTTTTTGTTTTTTTTAGGAGCTGGCTGTAAAGAATGAAAGTGGCGTAGCTGCAAATCCCCTGAAGATTTCCTGGCTTGAAGGACAGCCTGAGGTTTTTGCCGCAGCTTCTCATTCTGGGCAGTTCATGCCTTCACAGGTACCGGTATAACATTAAAATGCGCTGTTGTAATCCCCCTCCTCTCTCATAAAGCGTGTCAGCCCCATGTTATAAAATCCTCCGGCTACATTGCTTCCAGCACAAATACTCTTGCCTAAACACTGCCCCACAAAGAGAGGTATGTAAACGCTCAGAGCTTTTATTTTCGTATCAGTGGTGCAGATATTTCCCCGGTGCTTGCACTCCCATTCGTCTGACCTAGAACAATGTGTTTGGTTAAATGGTCCTCGGTTTATTTGTGGTGAGGTGCTGGCCCGGCACTGGCCCAGAGCCCCTCGTTGGCTGATCATTAATGGAAATGACCTGGCAGACCCCAGGATTGCTGCATTTCGTGTAGCAGTATGCAATAATGGTAGTCTGGCACGTGAGAAAGTAAAAATGGATATTTTGGTGCCAAGTGATTACATTTTTTTTCTTCCTATTAATTACTTTTAGATTTTGGCCTTTTTCATTAAGTCAAAAACCTTCTGATCATCTTAATATAACATTTTTTTTAATTTGAAGAATTAACCACCTATGGACCACAGTTTGCTACATAAAACTGCTGAACTGGGTTTCACCTCTCATGCTAGTGTGGGGTCTACGACCCCCTACACAGCATTAGTATCTGTGATTGAGTCTGCACACTGGGACTTGTCACACTAATCTCTTTAAATGTTATCATGGTAAACTGGTTTGCATTGCAGATATTCAAAGATGATTGCTTTAGCCTTTTTTCTTCTGTAACTCTGACTGGAAACATTACTATGCTAGAATTATTTTCAAATTAGCCTTCACTGAGAATACTTCTTGCTAAAGAGGTCCCACATGACATAATAGATAAACCATGGCAGATATTAGCGGTGTTGATCCACACCTATCCACGGGTCAGTGGGTGTGAATGTTCTTTTCAGATTCTTATCTGGGATCTACAAATCTGATCCCTCTCCTGTAGCCGACCCCTTCATAGTGTCCCAACATTATCCAGCTGCAATCACATATGAGCAAAGTGAGGACTTGGTTCTTTAACCTCATCAATCTAAACACAGCTCACAGAGTCAGCGTCTCGCCACAGGGAGCTCAGATACACGGATGACTTCACCCTTAACTTTAGTTCCATCTCTGCTGGGCTTAATAAATGAATTTGAGGCCAGTATGAGGAGCCTAATGGAGTAAAGGGAGGGGCAAATTCCCCAAGAAGACCCCCTCAGGGTACAGAGACTTTGATCTATCTCATGGTGTGTTAAATTTTTAACTTCTCTCACAGAGAGGAGTGTTGATCTTTTGGCTCTGTTTTTGTTGTAGATATGACATGATTTATAACTGGACCTACTGCATTCACCCAGTTTTTCTCACCGTGGATATTAATTTCAAAATAGGGGAGGGCCGTGTCTTTCGCACCATGTGGAATTGCTCCCCACGCTCTTGACTAAATTCAGACCCTTCATTTGGGAAAAGAATCCAATTTCTTTTCCTGATCGTTCACTTTTGCGTGTGTACCCGTTAACATTACTGATATGACAAATACGTCGTAGTGACAGGCTGAAAAATGGAGAGGTCGAGAAAATGAACCTTTAAATTTTCCCAGAAGTCCAAATGTTTCTTTTAGTACATGGTTCAAAATCTCAGTGAATGCTAAAAGAACCTATTATCCATTGCTAAACATTTCAGTGCAGTCCTATCCGAGAGCGGCAAATAGTTGCATCTGAAAAAGGGATTTCACATGGATAGTTTATCTTAACAAACTCTCGGATGTGGAATCCCCATCTATCTGTCTGCTTTGTTTTTGCCAGACCTGACGTTCATGCCTCCAGAGATATGATGCCATCATTAATCATTGTGTCTTGATTCATGGTTTATTGCTCAGTTTAGCATACCGTATTATTTAAAACGATTCTATTGTAAGGGTTTTAAATTTGAGCCTTCTATGCCTGCTTCTTCCATCAAGAGCCAGGGAATCATTGCAGGGTTGTCACGGCATAAACCAGATGCAGTAGATCAGCTATTCTAGGATTGTTTTTCCAGCCTGCTGGTTTGCTAGTTCTTTAAAAGTGCGTTATCACCTAAAATAGTCCTTGTGTCTGGAAGAGATGCATTGGATGTGGCCTTGCTGTTGGCATATTCAGTGCTGGCCTGAAACCTGCTCTTAATGAGATGATAGCTGTTTAGGAACAGCTTTCTGTTTATTGCAATGACCAGACTTAAAAGCTGAATATTTCTTTTCTTTTTTTTTTTTGGTTTTGTTCTATTTCACATTTCTGTTAGTAGCAAAAGTAAAAAGGAAACGAGCAGTGAAAATACATGAGACTGAAGGATGATTGGCCACTCACGAAACGGAGGATGGGAGATGTTTTAAAAAAAGATGTGCTGGTTTAGAATACATAGAAATCTATGCCTAAATGCATTTAGCTCATCATGCATATCATGAGAGGGAAGAGCTGTTTTCAATTTGCTTGATCCTCTTTGCAGCTTGATAATATTTTCTGTCTTGATACACGATACCGACAGCATAAACAAAAAACTGTTGGTTTTATGAAATCCCCTTTCATGTGTAAATACAAAAAAACAAACCAGACCAAAACAAAGACATGTAGCATTAGATTTCACTGGGAAGCACAATTACAGGCGCAGCACTCTTGTCCTATTTGCCAATACAGTATTTTTAATGTTTAAGTTGGTAGCCGACAAAAAACACAGCTCGTACGAGCTGCTTTAGAGGAATGACAAGATTTTTTTTTTTGTATTCTGCATGACATCAAGTTTAGATTTTAAAACGGAGGGAAGTGATGCCAGATGTGATTGGGATACTTCACAGTTTGGCCAGTTTTTTGCAGAGCAGACAAGATAATTTGTCTTCCATCACAGACTCTTTCATCTCGCATTAGCCATGTGGCTGAACATTTGCTCAAGTTGTGTCCTTCGCAGGACTTTCACACAGATGACAGACTGATAGAAAACCAAGGACACATGCATGCAGGAAAAATAAGATGCCAAGTATTATTTCTGATTTCTCTGATATTGCACAATTCTTCTTTCTCTTGTGAATAGATAAGGTTTTGATTGCTTAGGGAGTTATTGCATCGAGCAGGGCAACACAGTCAACACAGTGTAAATCTCTGCCAGTGAATAGCTCATTCTCCTGCTTATCCTGAAGTTTACTAACGGACTCTGGTTAGCTATTGATAGCCACCTCTTTGTGCTTTAGCTGTGCTTCAAAGTCCACTTTACTCTAGTGCAGCATTCATGCCTCTACTGTGCATGAAATTCTGCCGTGCGTGTCTAATTTTGGCCACCTCTACATAATATTATTGTGTTGCGGAGTCCTATATAAGCTGTAGTTTCTCTAGAAAAAATGATACAAACACATAAAACAATGTGTAAAATAAAGAAAAAAGCAATCTCATCATACGAGTATTTGATGTTTTTATTTGCTTTGCACAAAAATACATAAAAAACTATTTTTTTCTTCAGAAGGAAAAAAACATTCACAATGTGTTATTGGCAGAAGTCTACAAGAAACGGATATATAAGTGTTCCCACAAACAGTGCTGTTTCTGTTTTGGACTTGCATAGAATTCAAAATTTATTGCTTGAAGAACTTATTTTGGTTTCTAGATTTTGTACCATGACCCGTGGCGCTCTTAGGAATTTGACTTCTTCTGGGTTTTGTGCCACATCCCATCCCGATAACTCCCCAACAAAGCCGGAGTGAGGCTCGTCTCGACGTCTCCTCTGTAGGTTTGAGGAAAACGTATGGACGAGTGTTTCACGCGTGTTTCACGTGTGCTTCCCTTTGCTCGTGTGCCAGTGTGTGAGATGCAGCATGCATTTTTGCGTGTTGGGTGTATTTGGGTAGAAGGTAGTGTTTAAAGCCTCATCAGAACTTTTGCTACAGTAATGATGTTTCTGGTCTTCCTTCTCCCTCAACACCCCCTGCATATGTGGAAGTATCAAGTTACCCTTTACCACTTTTCTTCTCGTGCACTGCTCACCAGAGCATTGAACGCTGATTTGCAGCTAAGAAAACAGCCTGCTTTGGCTTCTTTTTTTTTCATTTTTCTTCTGAGGTCTTGGACCTGTGGCCTGGCTTGGTCGGTAGCCCAAACTGCCACCACTGGCTGGCTTTTATTGGAAGCAGGACTAAGTGTTTGTTTTCACTGCCTTGTTGGGAATGAGAGATGGGGGGTACCTTGGTCTACCATTGAGTGGGGCCTCTCAGATGCGTGCGGAGTAAAATTTGCCCTCTGCACACAACAGATTGGCAAGCACGCCAAGGCATCGCAGCTCCAAGGACCTTGGATTCCAGTCGTTGCGTTTCTTTTCTTAAACACAACAATCTTAAGTCTTAACAGCCGTCATCAGTGCCGTGATGTGTGGTTTGAAGAATTAAAATAGCTAAGGGGAAAAGTGAAAAGGTTGAAAATGTCAAGCTCTTAGTTTAACATGAAACAAAGTTTAATTATTAACTTAAACACTGGATCTGCCTCTGCAAAGGGTGATTGCTTGGAGAACATTAACTTTGTTTATGTGCCCCCTTTTCAAACAGAATCACGCATACTTTTTAGTAAACGCTGTGGATCACAGTGCTCTAGGAGCATATCCTGTGCCATTACAAAGTGTTCATCTGTGGTTTATTATTCATTGTTTGAGATTCTGCATTCCAAAAAAGCAGATATCTTTAGATTTATCCGAACATGATGAACAAAACAATATCCAAATGCGATGATTTCGTCTCCGATCAGGATTCTGGACAAGATGAGGCCCTTATTGCTCTCTATATTCCAAACCTTTAGTAAAGCCTCTCCGAGACATTTGGCTAATCTCTGGTTTATTTGTGCAGTTTGTCCATCACCTGAAGGACATCGTCAAGGATCGAAGGACCCAGGTCGAGGCTGAATGAAAAGCCACTGTCCTCATCCTTTTGTTGTCCCGTAGTTTTGTCACAGGTCTCGTTAAAGTCTTCATCCCCATCTGAACCTGTGCTGCCCCATCTGGAGCTATGAGTCTGATTAGAAGAAGTATTATTCCCTCTTTGGTACCCATCCTCTTTTTCAGCATCTACATTTCCTTTCTCGCTGTCCAGCAGGGGCAGAGAACTGCATTTCTTCCTTTTCTGGGAGTTATTGTGCTGGTGGTCCACAGACAAGTCAGGGGTCTTTTTGCTCTCAGTCTCGTCCAGATTCAGACGAGGCGGCTTTGGAGGCGGTGAGCAGGCCAGAAAGACGTTCTGCTCACTTCGGGAACTTTGTAAAAGCAGGTTGTGACTCAGCTTTAGAAAAGACAGATCTCCAAAGCTGTCGGCATTGTTTCCAATATGAGTGATGTGGCGGAAATCGGCGAGCGGTAGGCTGATCATGTTGACAGACAGAACCTCCTTCCTCTTGGAATTCCTGCTGGACCAGCGTCCAGAGGCTGGATTTCTGTGCAGCGATGCTCGGAGTGGCATCCTAGCAGATCTGGTTAAGATTTGCTTAAATGTTTCAGTTTAATCTTTTTTGTTTTTAATGTATCCTCAAAAGTCTTTGTAGTCTCTTTCTTCTTTGTTCAATTTGTTAGGAAGTTTTGATAATTAAAAGCATAACTCCCTCTGCAACGAAACACAAAAAGAGAGTATTAACATTTTAACAAATAACAGTTTGATACCACATTTCCCGCAGCAGCATGTCATCCAGGTTCTCTCTTATTCATGCTAGAACATGAAGGAGATCTGTGCTTGTGTTTGTCGTGTTTTTCAAAACCAGATGTAAGGATTTGACTGTGTCTGTTAGCTTTTTTTAAATTCACATCCATTGTGCAGCGATTGCACCTGCTAGCCTTGATTTTCATTTAATGAAATGCAGCAGTTATTTGGCAGCGCAGGGATGTTCAAACAATGCTTTGAACCTTTCATTTACAAATATTTACTTTTCAAATCCCCTCTTTTCCGATAAATGCAGGTGTGGTCTGCTGCACGTCTTCCAGAGGAAGTCTTCTAGTCCATTTAAGACTTCCAGTAAGAGAGTCAACAAAATAAATAAGAAAAAATGCCAGAGTGGTAATTGTTATCCTGTATGCGGTGCATTGTCTTCACTTTCTCACAACCTCTGTCAGAAATTATGATAATAACTTCACTTTAGAGCACATGTTTATAATTTCCTCAGAAGTCTAAATAACTGGGATACAATTAGTTTATTTTGCTGTGGTGTGAGAGGTATGCCCCGAGTCTGGATTTGAAAGTTATTTAAGATAAAATCAAATACAGCTATTCCATAAACAGCATCGCACTCTAGGCATTATCTTAGAGGATAAATCTGTTTTTAATGTCTTTTGGAGGATAATATAATCTTGAAATTTCATTTCCACCAACAAAACCTAAAACCTCTTGGTCACAATGACTCGAAAAAACAAAACAAGAAAGCGTTTTCACTTTCCGTGACCAGTAGTGATTTTAGTGAGCGAGACAGAACTCAGTTCATCAACGCAGGCACGCCGATTAGATAATCTCCTCTGTGTCTGTGATTTTTAAGCCTCCCAACAGCTTTGCCCACAGTTAGATCTGTGTTCGTGACTTGAAACACTCACTCTGTAAATTTGTAAACCACTTCGGCAAGCAGGTTTTGTTGGCCTGTAAAGGTTTTATCGGCACTTTAGTAGCAGCGGGAGATTGGAGCGCGCAGACTTGACTGCATTCCTTTCCAGACATGTCAGTTTGGCCAAGGAGGAGTCGTTGGGATTTTAGCCACGAGTATCGTGTTCAGGAAACACTTCGTGGCCAAGTTAAAAACTAAAGAAGCTCATTAAAACACATTGGCCAAGAAACACATTTTAAATGATGGTTCCGAACGCTCCATTAATTACACATCTCGGAGACTGATAAGGACTCAATCTGCTGAAAACTTTAACCACAATTAAAATAACTGATGTTAAGATTTTCTTCCTGCCGTGCAGTTACTTTAGTGAGAACTATAACAATAATTAGACAAAAAAAGAAAAGATGTTAGTTTTTACCTGTCTTGCTGGGAAAATCAAGGATAATTGAATCCCACACACGCACACCCGTGTCTGCCAGGAAGCTAGGCTGTGTGTACCTGCACACTCTCACAAACCTTCCTTTGACATGACGGGGCTTGTCAGCTGTTACAGAGAAGATCTCATTGAACCACCTCGAGACACAGAAACAATGTGAGCTACAACAGTCTTTTCCTCATCGTAGAAGAAAAGCTAAAGAAAGTATTTATGTACCATTTCTTACCCTTCTCTGCTTCAACGAGTGTTTTAGATAATCCTTGCAGAAAGATCTTTTTGTGTCTGGCTGATGAAAGTTATCTTCCCCTAAGTGATAAGCCAGGTGAGGTCAAAGTATAAGATTGTTAAGAGATCCAGGTATTTCTTAGTTGACATCTGAAGTCATCCCACCTCCAGTCAGGAGATTATATCATCCTGTTTGCGGAGTGAGTTGGCCTTTTAGTCGTAGGTGTTACAGTAAGTCCTGCTGGTTGATTGGCTGCACCCATCACCTGCGGGTGAGTCGGCACAAAGCACGAGCTCCCGGTTTAATTCCCATGACATTGAGAAAGGCAGAAACTGCCGTGCACGACTTATTCTTAAAGCTGAATGGTGTGACTGAGAGAAAGGAAAGGGGCGACGTATAGTTTGAAGTTTGAAGAGGTTGGTCATGTACAACTGATTGTGTTTTAATAAGAGTGTGTGAGACTGTTATAGATTGTGTGCTTATCTGGGGAAAAAAGAGGAAGTCCTAGTAAGTGAGAAACCGGTCAGCCCTAATCTGTCTTATTGTCCCTCTATTCTGCTGATTTCCTGATTTCCTGTCTGTTGTTGAGTTGAGCCCACTCCAAAGACTCTTCTGCCTGAGTGGAGGCCTGTAGCTATTCTGTGTAATCAAAGCTCTGTATCCCACACAGACATGTATGAGCAGGCACGCTGGATTTCACAAGCGGTTCACTTGCTGCATTTCTAATTCTCACGCCTCCAGCGTGTTGTCTTTGCTATGGAATGCTATAGTAATGGATAACACAAAACTGTGTCAGAGCAGAAAACGTTTGTGCGCTCGCTGGACCGTGTTTGCGTAAAAAGGTTTAAAGCCTCAAAGTTTCAGTAACACTCACTGCTACGCACTTTGATTGTGAGCCTTTTTTTGGGACTATTATCTTCTGAACAGTTGCATCTACCTGCGTGGTGATGTTTTAAAGATAACATATTTCATAATGCTGAAATATTGCCATGTGTTGGAGAAAGCTGTAGATCTGTGTGCAGTATTTGTTTGTTTTTGCCTTCCTCCCCAACCCTAAACATGCCGGGCGTGAAGGACAAATCGTATTTTTTAAGCGCTCCTTTGAAATCGATCCAATAAACAACATACGTCCCGCCCTCATCCTCTCTGCTGCTCTGCAACTCAGGACCAGAACAGTCTGCAAGAGCAGACACAATTACTCACGCAAATGAAATTATCATAACATTTACCCAAGGCCGAAACAGAACATTTTTGAACATCCCTCTTCTGAGAAACCCCCTCCTTCTTCCACCTACAACCACAAAACTGCTTTCATGCTAGAAGACAATCAGGGTGAAGAGCTAGTGTTATCTGTGGTATTTGGGTATGACCTCACAAGACCTGCTGTCTGACCAAGGTTGGGCTCAGTTTGTTAGCGGTGCTCTCATGCTATGTAGCCTCTGGGCTTATGCTTTTAGCCCGAACTGGATTTCTGCATAAGCCTCTTTTCTAAGGCCTGACCATAGTGGGCAATGTGGTTTGATGCAGCTATGCCGGGCCTGAAATCTGGGATGCTGCATGTTTTTGTTGTTGCAGGATAAAAAGTGTTTCCAGATATTGCTTTGACTGGCGCAACGATTCCAAACTGAGGCTTTGGTGGATATTCTTTTGGCTCTTTGTTGTATGTACTTCAGCTTCCGCTGATCAAGGCCCTCAGACAGCCAGCATTTAGAATAGATTTACTGCAAGATTTGGCTTTTATATGAAAAAGCTTTTTTGTTTTATTGGCAAATACTGGACATTGGGCTGTGATCAAATTCAGTGTGCAATACATCAATGAATTAACCAGATTATTTAGCTTGTAAGACTTGTTAAAGTAGTCATTCCCACCTGTCTGTATTTTGTATAAACAGTTTCTAGTAGTTTTCCTTTTATCATTTCTGGTGGGAATGTTTAAATATGCATTTGTCATCATCTTCAGCATTGTTGTCACTGTTCGTCTGCAAAGTTATGACTCAGTGATTAGCCGTCTGAAGGTTTTCCAACAGAAACTTGTCTGTGGGATTGCTAAGAGGAAGTGCAGACACTCGCTTGCATGATTCCAACATGACAGAGATCTGACACCGAAGCCCAGGTGTTACTTTACTGAATACCAAGCGCACACTCACCAACACATATGACGTAGCTAACAGTAGCTTCTAATCAACACAACAAAGTCACGTCAGGTCCAACACAGTAAGCGGATGGCTTGGCTGGGTAAAAACAAATATTCTCTGATGAGGTAATGCACTGCGGTGCCAAATGTCACAACACAATAAAGCAGCTGGATTATTTACATTTTGAGGTTTTACACCAAAGTTTGTCAGTCAGCGACAGAGACATTTAATGTTTTTGAGTTTTTCATTTGTGCGTGTGTCTGTCCCGGTATCATGATTGTCAAAGTCAAACGTGCTCAGAAAAATTGAAAAATAAAGTGAGTAGAATTTGGTCATCCAAGGTCACTGAGGCCTGATATTCTTCCCATTCTTGCAAACACAATATTTCAGGAGCACCACGAGGGAATTTCATCATAATCAGAATCTTTTACTGTCGTTATGCCAAAAACACAGAAAAATCATATGCTCTGCTATTCAGTGCAAGGAAAGCAATCTAACTATTCCCAAGAAATATAAACCATTTTAAAAGTGTTTCTGTTAACTGATACATGATAAACAACATAATATGTACGTGTATGTGTGCTCGAGTCATTATTAATAGCACAATTTTAAAATTTAAGGCAGTGCAACCTCATAAAAAGTTATTTGTTTGGGGTTTTTTTGGCCATAAAGGAATAATTTTTACATTCATTATTACATAGTTTGCAGAAATATCTGATTGGTGGCATTTTATGTCTCAAGTCAAAGGTCAGCTTCACTATAACATAATGCTTTATGACACTTTTTTGCATATACCAACTCGGGAGCAGAAAATTTCACATTTGGTCAGACACAAAATTGCCTATTAACCTTTATTGCCCTAAAAAGCAGCCTCGCCTCTGTCAGTGCCCCAGGGTGGCTGTGGCTACAATGTAGCTGCCATCACCAGTGTGTGGATGTGTGTGAATGGGTGGATGTGTAAAGCGCTTTGGGGTCCTTAGGGACTAGTAAAGCGCTATATAAATACAGGCCATTTACCATAAAAAAAATTGTTGGACCTACACTACATACTGTATTACTTTATGAATCTGGGCACACTGGGATGTATTCTGCAGTTTGATTGGTTAGTGGAAGCTTACACTCACAATGTGATAATGTAGGTTTGACTCGTGGCACTATTCTACATTCAAAAATGACCCGAGGATGTTTAACATATAGTATGGTGCTGCATTGTCTTTCATTCAGTTTCCTTTAACTCATTACCAGATCTTTTAATAAGGGAAAGCTATATTAGCATTATTATTATCATATTATGTAGTTTATGGTTGCAGTTTTGTGCTTTAAATAGTACTTTGTATTCTTTGTTACACAGAATATTGAAGACAAAATTGTTATGGATTTTTTGCATAGTTATTGCAGGATTTATTCCAAAGAATTTCAAAACCCATAAATTTGGAGGTATCAGTAAAATCTGAGGAATGTTATTTCTCCTGACACTGACTGATTAGTAATCATTGAATGATGGCTGTGAGTTTTAGATTAAACTGTAGATTTGTAGAGTTAATGTAAACAATACATACTGAGATCAGTTTTACTGGTTTTGCTTACTTTACATATTAATTAGTGTAGATAAGGAACACATGCACAAACAAAGTAAACAGAAATCTGCAATTGTTGTGCCATTTTATTTCTTTTTTTTTTTTTCCTTGTGTAATACCTCGGCTCATTTTTTTGACATCTCCAAGGTTCAGATGGTGTTCTTGCAGTGCCCTGGCCTCCTTTGTTTTAATAGCAAATCTGTTGCAATCAGAGGGCTTTTCCAGGAAGGCTGGAATGTGAAAGACATAATTTTGCTTTTACAACAATGTATTGTTGGATATTACAGAAACCAAACCCCCACATTTCCCTATTCAAGGATCCCTGAGCTCATCCATCATAAAGAGAAATGCAAGGGCACCAGGAGTTCAGGTCTTTGCTGCCATTTCTCTTTTCACTGTTTATATCCTTTACTTTTACAGATTCCAAAGGCACTTTTCTGACTCCACCCTGCACGCTTCTATTCTGTTGAATACTGTGTATACCCATGAGCGTAGTTATATAGCTTATATGGGGTGTTTGAGTACAGCAAAGCTAATATGATTGAGCTGATGAGCTAATATAATTACAACTTTAGCATTTTAGCTTTCGTTGTATTTTTTTAAGTCCCAGAAATGATTTAGATGACAGACTGGAATTATTATCAAACATTATGAAACTTCGTTAGCTACCTGCATCCATATACTGGAAGGATGCAATGCACAAATACACATGCTCGCTAATTAGTGCTGATTAGCAGATTAAAAATATAGTCACCAAAACTGAGCCACACAGGTCTTGTATGGTCTCTGCCATAGCAGGCAGTAATAATTATTTGATAATTTCATTTAAAAAAAAAAAAATGGCATCAACACCACAAACATAGTTGAGAAATCCAGTTCAGTGACTTCAGTTAGCTTAGGTGAGCAGGGTCGTGTCCAGGATTTGTTTTGTAAATGGGGTGGCACAGGCGAATCAAGAACAAAAAGGTTTATTACTTAAAACGTGGTGCTGCACAGTGTCCAAAATATAGTAGAAAAAAGAGAGTATCCCAAGTTAGAAATACTTCAAATACAAGTATATTAAATTTGTACTTTAGTAAAGTACTTGAGTAAATCTACTTAGTTACATTTCTTATGGCTCTCTCAATACTCTCATGCAAAGATGTTGGACATTGTAAGACTGGCAGTACACTATGCCAATGACATTGGTATTGGGGGGCACCAGCATCCTGGTGCCCCCCCCCATGCCCTGTTCTGGATACGCCCCTGCAGATGAGACCTGGTAGACAGCTCCTGTAGCTGCCAGTATGCCTGGCAATGTGGAAATCAAAGCCATACCCTTAATTTTAAGCCTCAACAGTATCCAAATGGACAAGTTATATAAAAAAACCCAAAACAAAAAACACCCACAATACAGTTATGAAAGGTTCCAACATTTGTCTTTCCATCATTATCGAGCAACAAACGTATTATTTATTTTCCTGTTCCAGGCCGCAAACATGTTTTTTAAAGCTATTACGTTGAACTCTATTGAAGCTGACTTGGTGTTGGTACCAGTCATTCCAGCAGCTATGTTTTTGTTTTTTTTTGCAGTTTAATTTGGCTGCTTTGATCAGACGTACATTTTCTGTCAAATAAAGGAAGTTTGTGCATTGCATGAGAGGGGCTAAAAACAGGAAGTACATTTGGGTCTCGACCTTTGTGGTTTGTTTGTTCTTTACTTGCAAAAGCGGTGTAGTAGAACAAACCTTTGGGGTTTTATGTCTGCTGACTTCTGTAATGAATGTTGATTAATCCGCTACCATTTAGAAAGCTTAGGTTTTGTCTGCACGAGAATTTCACCTCGGCTCCAGTGATGCATCTGCAGTAAGGCTGCCTCTTTGTTTGTGTTAGCATGAGCGCTTGGGTACCTTCACATACACACACACGCCCAAACGATCTCTATACTGGTATTTGCCTTTCATAAATCACAGCTCGGTGACACACACACAAATACAGAAACACACACTACGCCACCACACGCCCGCCAGTTAAATAGTTCCTTGATTAACTTCACCGCAGTGGATCAGAGCACACATTTTAGCTGGGACCACAGAGCAGGCTTGTTAAAAAACCCATTCTTAAGCTTTGGAGGACTTTAAAGTCACCTCGGCACTGCAACCGTCTAGTTGAAGACATGTGATGCTTTATGGTGTTAATGAGTGATCCATTTATCAAATTTGAATTGGTGAGCCGTCAAGTTGCAAGGTTAAAAGCCGTTAAGCGTGAAATGGCAAGATTTTAACGGAAGCTGTTTTGAATAGATGTAGTTTCACTTTACTCGTGTCCGCGCTTGTCTGTCTCTATTAAATGTTCAAACACTTTTTCAATCACTTGTCCTCACACGCTCGGCGATCTGACAACTTGTGCTGCGGCCACCTGCGCTCCTGCCATGCCTCCTGCCGTGTGTGGGAACGACTTTTAAGAGCGTGTGTGTGCTGCTTGACTCACAGCACTTGTGGTGATCATGATGTCATTACTGGCCTGGGGTCAGGCTGGGGTGTGCTTTTTCGAGGCCTCGCCATGCGCTGATGTCACGTAGCTAATCCTCAGCTTGTTTATATGTATGCATTTGTGTGTGTGGTTGTGTGTTTTACGACTATTCCACCTCAGCGGTGGCCTTGAACCCTCCTGTCTTGGCTTTGTACAGTGGCCCATTGTTTGTGTTTTGTGGTTTCCCGCTCACCCCGGATCTTGGCGTTAAGGCACCAAACACCCACCCGCCCCTACACACACTTGCAGACACACACAGACATAGACATGCAAATATGTACCCACCAAGTGTTTAGTTACAGAGTGATGCACTGGCTAAATATGTATATTGTAAGTTAACACCCGAGGCAAGGAAACTTCCCTCATTCTGAGAAGAAATGCGTCACACTGCCCATAAAGCACCTGTTAATGCACAGAATTCCCCTACATCATTAGTGTCGTGCAGTCTGCCCATGATGCCATAATCATGCTGGGCTGAGAAAAAGGCAGACCAGTTCTAAAAGTTTCCTGGTGCACTTCAGCATTGTGCCCAGTAGGGGGCGTAGCAGAGTATGGTTAGATTTGCTGTATAGGCAGGAGGATTTCCACAGCTTCTTGTATATTTGCTTGTGTTTTGTTTAATTTTAAGTTACAAGAGTTGTTTATTTACCTAATAGTGTTCGCGTGATATTTCATAGTTACGTGTCAGACGGGGGCTTGAGCTCACGTTATTGGAATGATAATAGCAGCTTTCCTCAATCCAGGGGTGGCGTAGGGGGGAGTGAGGGTAACGTCCCCCCTCACCGACCCTCTCTTTTTTTTCTTCTTCCTCCACACTAGACCCTCTTTCTCCCCAGCACACGGATGCTGGAGTCCCTATGATATTTTCCAGATGCCTTAGCGAGTGCATCGACAAAACTTACCACTCATCAGATCACTCTCCGTCCTTAATGCACACGCTCACTCTCTCCTGCAGCTCACTGTCTTGTTAAAGAGACACTTCCTTGGCTCAGCAGACTTCCTTGATATAATCTGTTCAAAGAATGGCTTTCTTTGTGTACACGTGGTCTTCCTTCCTAATCAGTGATGGGATGATGGTCTCCATGAGTGCATATGTTTGTGTTGCACATACAGTATAAGCACAATCCTGGTGAATTTTAAATTGAAGTTGTCAGATTTAAATTTTTTCTTAAAGTGTTTTCTCGTTTCATCACAGTCTGTTTCTTGTGTTTCGATCTTGGTTGACCGGTGTGTGGCATTGGTCATTGCACAGATATTTGTGTGTGTGTGTGTGGGTGTGAAAGCCCTTTTGGGCTGTGTTCCACCCTGCTTGATTAGCCATTAGCCAGTGGCTGCCCTCTCTGATTTCCCCCCACAGTATGATAATCCGTCGCCATCATCATCCAAGCCAAAGCCCTGCCAGCAACTGCCAGGCCCAATTCCAGCCCACATTTTAGGTTTAATGACCTAAGGCAGTGGAATTACCCCATCACAGTTTCTCTGTGGGCTGCTGTCTCATGCATGTTCACCATGTCGTCATGCAAATGTTAACTGAGATGAGAGCATGTGTCCAAATCTGCCTCTCTGCGCCGCACTCAAAGGCCTGGTTGTGAAAGCAAACAGAAACTGGACATTGACTGCATTTTGGTTTTTTTGCGTGTGTGTCTGTGGTCAGCTTTGAATGAGCAACATGATGTTGCGTGTCTAACACAGTCATCTTTCCTCCACTGGAGGCTTTCTGTGTAGAGTTTACATGTTGTCGCCATGCACTCCAGCTTCCTAGGACATGCGTGTTAGGTTAAGTGGTGATTATAAATTGACCCTAATTTGTGTGAATCTGAGTGAATCTGATTGTGACTTGTTCTCTCTCTCTGTCTTTTTTCCTTGTGTTAGACTAACAAACTGTACCTCTCTTCTCGCCCATGTAACAGCTAGGATAGGGTCCAGCCGTCCCGCAGCCCTGAATTAGCCAAACGTTGGATGGCTGCCTTGAAGGACTGTTGTCATGATCTAAAAATCCAAGATGTTTGGCTTTTCTTATGACTCTGTCGCAGGATCACAGGATCGCTCCACAGATTTTACACTTCAAGTTCAGCTTACTTGTGAGGAGGACTGCACAGACATTTTTTTGTAGCTTTATACGTTTTTTTGACAATTCTGAGAAATAGAACTCTCAGTGATACAATCAGGATTTTCACTGTTTAAGCTTGGACACCATACATTTAACGGGAATGCTGCTCACTGATGAAAACGCTGCTGCTTATAAATAAAATTCAAGGGTTTTCGTGGCTTGAACCTTAAGTAGAACTAAAAGTTGATCTGTCATGAAATCTGATAGAAACTACTCTGTTGAATTGATTTTCTAAATCAACTGATTGTCTGGTCTATAAATAAATCTTCTTATGAATCTTGTTTTTGTAAGTCCTACTAGTCTGTGTAGCCCTGTTTCACATTATGATAATATCCACTTTTTTGTTATCACCCCTTTAGGCTTCCCTGTCCAATGAGCGTGACTACGAAAGCATTGTGATGATGAGGATGAGGCAGGCCGCCGAACGTCAGAAACTCATAGAACAAATGCAGAGGGAAGACGAGGAGGAAGCTGCCACGTCGTAGCACCACAGGACAGCGCTGTGAGAAATATTAGATGTAATCCTGCATCAGGCTTTAGTTTCATAAAGCCTCTTATTTGTTTTTATTATTTTTTTGTATGTAATGTGATGTGTGGCAAAATAAACAATTTTCATAAACAAACAAAAAACAGTTTTTGTGTCATGGCCTTTCCTGAGAAGAGATGTGAGAACCAGCAGGGTTTGATGCACAGCTGGGTAGTGCCAGAGAGTAGATACAAATTTGGAGATTTAAAATGATTTAGACTGGAATGCATCTTATGACTATGTAATTGCACTATGGTGTGTGCGTTACAGGCCTCTGGGGATTGATTACTGGTCTATTGGTCTAAGCATCACTAAGTACTAATACATTTCTAGGTATTTTTTTTGACAGAAAGTCTTTATTTATAGTGTTGTAATATTTTATTATCCTTTTCTTTATCCAGGTGAAAGTCTAATTAAGATTTAAATCTCATTTCCTAGAGAGAGCAGGCCATCATGGCAACAAAAGTTACAACAAATACAACATAAGTTCAAACCAAATACAACATTCCATAGAAACAAGTGAGCACAAAATAAGCAACAGCAGATCATAAAAACAGTCACACTGACTAAAAGAGTTATTCTCTCTGTCCTCTCCCTCAGTTCCTTCTGTAGATTATTCCTGGAAACAGGGGCGCCATATTTAAAAGCTTTTTCCCAGTTGTCTTCTGATTTTTGTTACAGTCATTTGTATGACATTGTGAGAGCGAGGCTATATTGGATGTGGCTTTTACACATATAAACACACAGATAAGAGGGAACCAGCCCAAGGAGAGATTTATAGATAAAAACCAACCAATGAGAAAGTGGAGATCTACAGAGATGGTCAGGATTTCAAGAGCCAGTAATAAAACGTAAAACACAATGGTAGACAGTATCTAAGCTTTTTAGATAGTGGGCAGGTGCATTCCTAAAAAGCAGGTCACCACAATCCAATAAAAGTAAAAAAAAAAAAAAGTTGCATAAAACAAGTGTTTCATTTACTTGGAGAGAGAAACAACATTGATTTTTTTTAAAAGGTAACATAATTTCAACTTGGACACAAGCCTTTCAATGTGAGTTTAAAATGACAAATTCTGATCTATAATGATACTTAGATACTTATAAGATGTGACCATTTCTATTTAGGTCCATTAAATGGTTTTAATCTCAGGAAACGTTAATAACAACTAACATGAAGTTGGATTTCTCTGCATTTAAAACGAACTTAGGTTGAGTTAAACGGAACTGAACAAAATCAAAGCCATACTGCAGAAATTTAAGGAGTTGTGCTGCTGATGGAGATGAAGAATAGATAACTGTATCATCTGCAAAAAGATGAAATTGAATGTTTGATAAATTTTCAGAAAGGTTATTTATATAAAGAGAAAAAAGTAATGGCCCTAATATGGATCCCTGAGGAACTCCTTTGGATACTGGGCAAAAAGAGGGAGAACACCCAGCAATGTGGACACATTGTGTTCTAGCTGACAAGTAATTTGAAGACCAACTTACAACATTTACAGACAGACCAAAAATCTTTAGTCTGTTTACTAAAATGACTCGGTCAACTGTGTCGAAGGCCTTCGACAAGTCAAGAAAAAGAGCAGCGCAGTATTCTTTGCAGTCCATTGCATCATTAATGTCCTTCAACAGTTTAATAGCAGCGGTAATGGTGCTGTGTTGTTTTCTGAATCCGGACTGCTGTTGGTAAAGAACCGAATTTTGTCCAAAAATTCTTTTACTTGTTCACTAATAAAGTTTTCTAGAACTTTTGCTAGAACACACAATTTAGATATGGACCTGTAGTTATTAACATCTGAAGGATCACCTTTTAACAATGGGAAACCATAGGCAGATTTCCATATTGCAGGGATCTCATTGTTCAAAAGGCTGAGATTAAAAATATAAGTTAGTGGTTCTGCTATAAAATCTGCAACCAACTTAAGAAAATAAGGATCAAGCTGATCTGGCCCTGCAGATTTATTTGGATTCAACAGATTTAAGGTCCTGTGGTCTTCAAAGAAATTTGGAAGAGAAAAGCTGAAGGATTGGTCCAAAGATTCAGTTTGAGTGGTAAAAGAGAGAGCCTCCTGTTTATTAGGCAGTTTTAAATATGGATGTAAAGATTCAAATAAAGACCTGGAAGAAACAAAAGACTCATTAAAGCAGTTTAGAATTTCACATTTTTCCGTCTTTTACAAAAAAAGCTGGCATCTCATTGGTAGTTTTGTCCCTATAAGAACATGTTATAATTTTTTTTTAGGATCGTTAAGATGTTCAGTAGTTTTTGAAAGATAAAATTCTGATTTGGCTTTTAATGAAGAAGGCTGAATGATTTCTTAGCTGTCTAAAAATCAGCCAATCTGCCTCAGATTTAAAATCTCTGGCATTCATTTAGGGCCAATTTCATTAAAATCTAAAGTGGACAGTTTGTCACTAAGTGAATTTAAAGCCTCAATAATAGCTGAGGGGGGTCTCTAACAACCTACAATAGGAATAAAATGGTCCTTAAAAAGTTGGAGCTTAAATGCAGGAAAGAAAGAAAGAAACAGTTTAGTAAAAGATTAAAAGATACTGAAGAATAACATGGAATTAGTTTTTTACATAAATTGCAACACTAACACAATGAAAAAAAAATTGTAGCCCGTTATTGCAACGTCTTTGTCAGTAATTGCTATTGTTAGCCAAGTTTCAGATAATGTAAGAATATCAGTATCCAATGTGTTCACCCAAATTTTTCACTAAGTCCAGTTTAGGAAGAAGATTAGTGACATTTAAATGAATAATACCAAGTCCCAATCTAGCTTTAAATCACAAGGAACATTTAAACATTTGTAATCTGGACCAGGATTAGGCCGTATATATTTCCAGATAAAAGCAGCAAAAGAACAACGAAGCCTTTTTTTAGTAGTATCACAGACTGATTTCTCTTATTGCTCAGTCTCTTTGGGAGGTGAGAGCACAGGGAAATAAACCAGTCATATGGAATAAATAAATGAATTAAATCAGACAAACTGAGATCTGCACTGATGTTCCCTATGAGAGGACTAGAAAATGAGGTTTATCTTGCTCTCCAGACTGTTGTTGTGCCTCACGTGGACAGAGAGCCCAAAGAGATTGGCCTTGCTACACCACACATAATCAAAGTTGCATAATGCTGTAATTTGCATCTGTCAACCATTGTCTGGTTCAGTGTGACTACTCACTGCCTCATTATTCAAGCCAAACAAGTGTGATGTAAAAAAAAAAAAAATCATTCTTGTCTGCACTCTCATTCAGAAGCCCTGATCCAAACCACAGACTCTCTGGTGTAACTACGTGGAAATCGTTTTTTCGTCCATCCTAAACCAGTAATCAGGCTGCGATTGGAACACAAGGTAGGCTTTTATGGAATTCTTGTGGGCTTGTGTGATGAAAAGTGAACATACTAGAGGCCCTCCATTATAAGAGTTGGTGGTTTAGATGATTTTTCCCATTTCTTTGTATTCACTAGAGAAATTGTCTACTCCTGGGTCTGATCTTTGGTGGACATTGAACATGTGCATTTTCTATGCAAATCCTTTATTTTATAAAACTCAAACAAATGGTAAAAAAAACAAACAAATTACTTCGTCATGGATCTTCAAATCCAGTTTTTATTTTGCGACTGACGAGAGTGAGTAGCTTTGTGTAATTTACACGCCATAGCAGTTCCTTGCAAACACTTGCTTTGAACAGAAGGTGGTTGTGGCCCTCCGATGACCATGTTGGGGATGTCCTCTCCCTTTATCATCATGCAAACCCAAGAGTAAGAGAACCAGTGTTCAGAGCAATCTGAAGCTTGAGCTTTTGGGTTATAGAGACGGTGTGTACATCAACTGACCTTCTTATTTTAAACATGAACATTCACCACAAAATGTATATACTAGGGGTGCAACGATACACAAAATTCACGGTTCG